GCGTGTCTCGACGTGGCCTCTCCCGGCGGCTGTGTGGCTGCTGCTCTGTCCCCGCCCAAGTGCGCGGAGGAGTGGGAAGGTTTTCATTCCCCGTCACTGGGGGCGCGGTGTCTCATTCTCTTACGCCCCCCTGCCCTGATGTCTCTGTTCTGCCGTGCAGTGCAGGGGAGACAGTGAGACCCTCCCTGGGCCTCAGCGCTCCAGCCCCCAACTTCCAAGGGCTCTTCCAGCTGGTTTTTGAGAGCTAGTGCCGGCCAGCCAGCCTGGGCCAGGCGGCTCCCTGCCACTGGCTGTGTGGACGCCCCAGAACCGCTCCCCCGGCAATGGGGGTTTTGTGCAATTAAGGAGAGCGGAGTGACTCCGCAGGTGCAGTCTGTTCTCCCTGCGTTTCTGTGCAGGGCAGCATCGGACTTGGCTTGTGGGGTGCCCAGGGGTGAGGCAAGTGCTTGGGAACCGTGCACATGGCGCAGTCCTGTTGACCCGTGGCCTGTGCTTTGTGGGGAACACGCCCCTGCCCTGGAGAGTGTGCCTTGCCCCCCGGCTGTGTTGCTTTCCAACCCGCTGATTCCCCCAAGAAAGGGGCGCACAGCCGGGGCTGAGACGGACTCCTAGAGCTTCAGCAGGGGCCTCAAACACCAGCCCCATGACCAACCCCGGCTGGAGCGAGTGCACAGCCCGGCCGGGGGAGAGGAGGCTCCAGGACGCAGCTTTGGGGCTCACCGGGGGTGGGGGGCCTGGTGCTGTGTGGCGGTGAGGGCCCCCTCACTCCCTGTGGCTGCAGGGGGACAGGGTGCTGTGGGAGGGGGGACGGGGGGGCACAGGAACTGGTAACGGGCAGCTCTGCCCCCGGCTCGCCTGTGTTGCTCTGTCCGGGGGTGGCCAGCAGGCCGGGAGCCTGACTAGGGGACTCCTGTCTTCCGAGGGCGGCTCCCACACGAGCCCTCTGCCGAGAGAAAAGGTTCCTTCTCGGCGGGTGACCGTGCGGTGCGGGAAGGGGCGGCAGGGCCGCTTACGCCCCAGCTGTCTGAAGCAAGTAGCCCCCTTGCTGGTGTTTAAGCAGGGGCATTGGTCGGGC